ACAGACAACCTCTCGTCAATATGCGTTTTTCGCATTGCATTGCTGCAAAAAACGCATAACAAATGACTTACAGCACAAAGGACTGTTTGCGTTCAAACGATTTTCCATCATAAATGCATTATTGCAGGCAACAATACGCCACTGAATTTGTAAGGCAACACAGCGCATCTACAAAATGCATTCGCATCTTGACGACTAATTAATGAATTTAAACAATGAAAAAAAACTTTGTGCAATTGCAGAATGTTTAGTTTTCATGCAAAAATCACCTGGATTTGCAGACTGAGTGAAGAATCGAGACGTAACTTAACTTCCCGTGTCAACAGACGAGATAATTCGGCCACTTTATTTGGATGATATGTTGCAACCAAATATGTTGCGCTACCCGTTGCATATTTCTGGTCACCACATCGTCCCTGCAAACACTATCTCCTGCTTAATCTATACATGAGGTTCTATCAGACATGAAGAAAACAAGCCATATTCGTATTTACTTATGAGGCGTGGGCGCTAAAAAGTGGTCCGAGTGGTAACGCTCACCATCAAGGCTACCGATGGCTTCGTTTCTCAGGGGCTGCTTAGAAGTAAGCTGATGTTGTTTATGGCTCCTTGGCAAAAGCTATTACTTAGTATCAGGGGTTTAACAACCTATTACTTTCGTGTTTTAACATTTTAAAGCTCTGAAGATACATCACCGCAGAGATAACAAACCTCTTGTTTGACAACCCGATTTTCAGCGGTCCATGAAGTTTTGGCGCACTCTTTTATCAGTCGCTCACACTCCGATACATCGATTTCGTTGGCACTAATCAACTCACACAGCTCTTTATATCGTTTCAAGAACTCGTATAAACTGTGTTGCGGGAATTCTTCGTGCTAAAAAGACGAATTCTTTCCAAATCTTTCCAGAATTTTCAGCAAAAAACTTTTTTCAGAAAACTGATTTCTCCAGCTTTTAAGTCATTCCACTACATCTTCTTTTTATTGGTAAAGGGAAATGGCAGCAGTACCTAAGTCAGCTATGAAATGACGCATGCTATGTCTAATTAAGCTGCAGTACATTTACGGTCACGCACTGTGGTCTCGGTCCGACGTGAACGACACTGTAAAGGCGACGCATGTCAGGAAAGAAACCTGGGTCGATCGTGTAGATTGAATAAGAGTTAACAGACGAATAAAGCAGACTCTTGGCTGGTACCCACATAAATCAAATAAGCCGTAGGATGGCCGAAAGTGGGAGAGATTATATAAAATTTCCGAAACAAAATAGTTCGGAACAGAATGAACAGATCGCCAACTGTTTCGCTGATGGTCAGAAGAGGCAAAATTGTGAAAAATTACCATTCCCTACGGAGGTTCTCTCCGATCAACAAGTACGATAATCATCTCTCACCACCCCTCCCTCTTACAACCTGATTGTATCAACTGTCAGAATATCCATAAATGATGGAAATACTCGTAACACAAACAGTACCATTTCGTTAATAGCGGCCTACCATGGCTTCTATTCTCAAAGATTACTTAAAACGACAAATGGTGGTAATTTGACTCTTTGGCGTGCGTCACTTACCAGGGAAAAGAGCGAATGAATAGCAGAAAGGCCGATGTTTCACTAAACTTCAATTTTTAGCCTGACTTTGACACTGTCTGGTACCATAGCAGATTCGTCTGTTCATCTGGCTAGGTCACAGCTACAAAACTGGCTAGGAAGCAACACCAAAAAAGCTGGGTACTGTTACAAAAGAATACTTACTGTCAAAAACTGCTCCACAAAATCTTCTGCAGTTTCATACAGGTCATTGTGATAAAATGC